ATATATATATATATATGAGTTTCTTCTTGTCATGTCTTCTCTGTATTTCTTACATGGAGGTAATCATGACAGATCTGCTCGGTTGTCTCCTGTTACATCCGCTGCAAACATATTTGTGACACTGGCCTAGGTGCCTGACGTCATGGCTAATGAGCACACGTTGCTCCCTCAGCGTGACGTGCCACCATTAACCGCACGGGTTAGACATCCCGCTGCTTCCAACGTTGTCATAGAATCTGCAGAAGACGCAGCGCATGTGGAGCTTTTCTTTACTTAGGGCTATTTTCTTGGGAGAGCTTCCTCTGTGTTGGGATCGCTGGGTCACAGGGAGTGAACATGCTAACAGTTTGGGGGGCATTCTGAAAGTTTGGGTACACACTGCCAACCAGCCTTTAACATTTCCCTGATGACTCCTGATTGGGCATCTTGACCGAGTCTCTCGCTCCAGATTATTTAAAAGCAGATAACCCCCCTTCACCCCTGTGGGAGGGGGAGCATTCTTGTTTAAGCTGTTAATTCTTTGATTTGTAGTGACCGTGGGCATAGCTCCTCTGACCAGGAATAACCCAAGCCTCTTTCCCTTTGGGGCTTGGCAGTTTTCTTGCCGATTTTCCTAAGTGTTTTACATGGGGAGAAAAAAATGTTTTTCACTTTGTTCCGTCATTCTTCCTGAAAGCATTCCCTCCGGTTTGCTGGGGTTGGTTACCTTCTGGGGACCGTGGTTTTCCACGTTGGGAGTGTTTTAAAACATTTGAGCCATCCCAGCTGTCCATCTTTCCCTGCGTGACTTCTTCCGATCTTTCTGAGATCTAAAATAATCTCTCTCCGGAGTCCTTGATAAATCATCCCCGTTCTCCCAGGGTTTCAAAATGACACCGAACCCCGTGGTAAAGTCCCTGTGGACGTGTCTTCCAACGCAGGACAGGAGAAGCTCCACTTGCCCTCCCGTCCCTGCCCTGGCCCAGCAGGTGTCCAGATGACGAAGGTGGTACTGATGTTGCTTCTGCTCAGCCTCACATCTCCTTGTTTCTGCATCTCAATAGCCTTGCCAGAGCTCCTGACTTTACTGCCCAGATGCTCAGAAATGGCTTTCTAAGCTAGAAATAATAAAGGGAAGTTTCTTTTGGACAGATTAGCTGGAAAGTTCTTGGAAGGATCCTAGCCCAGAATTCAATCGACCCTATAGGACAGAGCAGACTGGCCCCACTGGGTTTCTCAGAGCCTCATCATTCTCCCAAGGAGCAGCCCAGGGGACTGGAACTGCCCATTTTGCAGTTAACAGCCCACCCACAGAGCCATCCCACTAGTTTGTTGCTGTTTTATCTGCAGTGGAGCGTCCCAAAGAGCCGCCAGCAGTAGGGCTCCCTTTGGAGGGTCAAAAAAGGGTGACACCTGGTCCAGGGTGAGGGGAAACGGGACCTTTATTCATGGCTGGTGAGGATTAGGTTCTGATACAGACTCTGGAAGGCCAACGTGACCATCGCTCCTGTAGTTTGGGCGTGCTTTGATAGACAGCCACGAGTCTATCATCAAGATTCACCTTGTGATGCTACTTTATGAGCCAGTAATTCTGCCACCCTGTTGCCTGTTGAAAAAGGATGATCATTTGTAAGAGAAACATTGGAAGCCTAAATGTCTAGCATAGGTAAGTTCCTGGGTGGATAATTTATCATCTACTAATCTTTGAAGCGCGGCTGGTGTAGTAGTGATGCGTTGAGCTGAGATCCGCATGGTCAGCAATTCAAAACCATCAGCAGCTCGGCAGGAGAAAAATCCTGGGTTTTCTACTCCTGCAAACAGTCTCAGAAACTCACAGGGGGTCTCCATGAGTCATCCTTGACTCGATGGCAGTGAGCTCATCTTTACAAAGAAGAGCCCTAGTGACGCAGGGTTAGGTGTTGGGCTGCTAACCACAAAGTCAGCAGCCCCAAACCACCAGTTGTTCAGCGGGAGGAAAATGAGACTTTCTACTCCCAGGAAGAGTTAGTCTCAGAAGGCCACGGGCAGTTCCAGTCGCAGTGAGGCTTTTTATTTTTTTAAAGACAGGAGTGGAGTATGTCCTTTGGACAACAAGCCCACTGCAGCTAAAACAAGAACAACAAAGAACAAGGTTTTAAGTCTATAAATACCGACACAGGAAAGTGTATGATGATGTATAGGCGGGTGAGAAAAGGAAGCTGCAGAAGTCTGATGTCATTTGTTAAAAACACAACAGACTATCCATCTACACATTTCTCCAAGTACATACGTATGTAGAGACCACCAAGAAAGGGGTCTGAACAGATCCACCGCAGGCGTGGAGCACACTGCCTTCAACCGCTCCCCTAGAAGGACGAGGCTGTCTGTGCCCATAAATATTTATAGCCCCAGAAATCCTAGATAGGGCTGCTAGGAGTCAGAATCAGTTCGATTAGGCAGTGGGTGTTACCGGGATTTCATTCAGGGCCATTTATTTGGTGGGCTGATGTTTGCTCACATGGCCCTAGGCAGCCACTGGGGGGCAGTAGCAGGCAGGGGTCGCATGGTGGAGGAGTGGACACCTGTGATCCCCAACAGCCTGCTGAACTCCAAGACTCAGAGATTCTTGGATGCCAAGGGGAACCATGACGTTCTAAAGACAGGGGTTGGCAAACTATGGCCCGCTGCCTGTTTTTGTAAATAAAGTTTTATTAGAATACTGCCAGAGCCATCCTTTTGTACATGGTCTGTATCTGCTTTCACGCTGCGATGGCAGAGTTGAGTAGTTATCAACCGCGATCACATGGGCCCACAAATCTAAACTAGTTATCGCCTGGCCCTTTATTGAAAAAAACCTTCTGGCCCAAGGCATATGAGTCTGTGGTTCTGAGACTGGATTATTCTGTGAGGTCTGCATGTGCTGGAGTGGTGAGTGATGCTTACATGTGGACTTTGAATAAATGCTTTTAAGAGCTGTGTATTTGTGTGTGTGTGTGTGTGTTAGAAAAAAACAAGCAAGGGACAAGTTCAACTTATAATATCAAGGACACGACCAAGTACACACTAAAGTCCAAGTTCAAGTGTAGGATGGTGAGATCTAACGAATAGGGAGAGGAGCCAAAGAAATGGCTGTGACCGGTGCCTGGGTGATGATGTCCTTGGTGCTGGGGTGACACTCCTGATGGTCTCCCGCACCCCCACCTCCCTTCCTGTCCAGGCTGTGCAGTGCACCATCAGCGGCCTGACCTTCCTGGACCCCAGCTGCCAGGCTGAAGACAGCGCTGACAAGTTTGTTCTGCGCAGTGCCTACTCCAGGTGCGGCATGAAGGTGATGGGAAATGTGATCAGCAATGAGGTAAGCGCTGGAGCGGGCAGGTCTCACAGAAGCTTGGTGGGTGCCACCCTCTGGAAGCCCCTCGGGCTTGCCAGGCTGCAGGTTGTTCCGGAGAGCAGGGCATGGAGCTCAGGAGGAACACAAGACAAGCATAGCTGTTGGTTGGCTCAGTTCCCCCATCTGAAAACTGAGTGCGTTGGATGGGCTTCCCTCTGGGGTCCCTGCTGGCTCTGACCACGTCTTTGGCTTTGTCCTTGCATGTAGTATTAAATATAAAAAAATAATTGATGTTGAGGGAGGTGGGGTGCCAGCCCCCACCTGCTGCTACTTCTACGAGTTCAGTAATACTACTTCTGGGTTCAGTAATGGACAATTGTACGGTTGAGATATATAAGTATTATATTAAAGTCATCGAGAGCATGAGAGATAATACAATAATACAGTCAGACATGATACATAGCAACATTGCTCACCTCAGCCCATCTTGGTGGTCCACGTGGAGAGAGAGGGGGAAGGGAAGGAGGGAAAGGGAACAAGGGAGAGGGGTCAAAGAGGTCAGAGTCTAAGAGAGAAGTCCGCGCCTATATTGCTGACCCACGCCTATATACCTTTTGGGGACATGCCAGCCCACTAATTACAGGTAGAGACATACGTCACAGGGAGGGGTTTCACTATAGGCTACACAGCAATGAGAGGGTGGTCTAGGGGATGGTCTCTGGGTCTCCATAGGAACATTATCAGTAGGGTGCAAACCCCTCCTACAGGAACCAAGCTAATGGCCTTAGGCTCCAGAGAGGTAGTCTATTGTCTCCAGCAGCAGGGAGCAGGCCCAGCCCTGCTGTGGGATGAGACAGCAGTCTGGCAGCAAGTATCTGACTTCTCCCCACACTTGCAGGTGACCATCAACTTCCCATCAAGCTCATCACAGCAGGTAAGACGGGACAAGTAACTCTGCGAAAGCCACCTGGTCCCCAGATCTGTTGGCTGGACGGGGGCTCTTTCTGGTATGGGAAGAGTCATGCTCTGATCCTGACATACCTCAGTCTCCCCTTGTGTAAACTGGGAGCAGTGCTGCGTAACATGACATGCTGAGCCTCAGCTCAGAAGGTTCTAGCACATTCTGGCTCTGTGTGGCCTTAGGGTCCTCACTTAAGCTCTCAGAACTCAAATGTCAGCACCTGTAAGCAATGCCCTAAGAAAGGCCCCCGGCCCATGGGGACACTGTGAATAGCCCCTGAACAGACTTCACCCAGGCCTGGCGCCAAGGGGACTCCGGGTAAATACTGGTTCTAAGGAAAGAGAGAAAGATGAAGGTGAGGGGCGGCCCTGGACCACGCGGCCTGCTACCAAGTCCCCACCCCCACCTTCCAGACTTCCCAAGAGCCCCTCCTTTCTCCCGCCCCCCTGCAGAAAGAGGTGCACTGCATCAAGATGGAAAGCCTCTCCTTCCAGCTGGGCCTCTACCTCAGCCGGCACTTCGTCCAGGCCTCCAACACCATCGAGCTGGGCCAGCAGGGCTTTGTGCAGGTACTGGCTCTGCCCCGCCCTCCCCTCTGCCCCGCCAGCTCCTGAAAGTCCTCACGTGCCTTTCTTCCCGTCATGAGTACGGAGGAAAGTGGGCTCCAGCGTGGGGACAGGGACAGATAGCTAAGGCAAGGCTTGGATGGGAATGCCACCTTCCCGAGGCGTCCCCTGCCTCTCCTTCCATCAGGCCTTAGGGCCAGGGACTCTCCGTTCTTGTCTGCTTCATGGGAGCAGGTGGGGTGAGAGGTTAAGAGTGATTGATCAGGCCTCCTCTCCTGGCCCGTGCAGGTGAGCATGTCTCCGGCCATCCGAGAGCTTGTGTTTCAGCTAGAGAACTGTACCCTGAGCTTGGGGCACGAGGCGGAAACCGTAGAACTCATCCAGAACCAGGCAGCCAAGGGCAGCTGTGTAAGCCTGCTGTCTCCGAGCCCTGCCGGCGACCTGCGCTTCAGCTTCCTTCTGCGTGGCTACATGGTGCCCACACCCACGACGGGCACCCTCGCCTGCACCATCAGTTTGCGTCCCAGGACCTGGTCCCAGGTGAGTGAGGCCTGGGTCTGGCGTGCCCAGCTGAAGTGGTAGCGATGGGATTCAAACCCAGGGCTACAGGTAGGCTGTAGCAAGGCAGGACCCAGAGCCCCTGAGACTGGCACCTGCCTCCCAAAGACTGCCACATGCCACTTTATCCTCCCACAGGAAGTCCGGAGGGATGTCTCTGTGCACCTGAACATCATCGGCTCTGGCCTGACTGGTGAGTGTACTGCCCTTCTCTTGGGCTTGCTCAAGTGGCGAAAGTCAGGGGGGCGGAGGGGCAGGGGGAAGAGGGACTGAGGCCTATGGGGGGTGTGGGGGAAGGTCCCTAGAGTCTCAGCTTGGATCCACAGCTGTTGCATCTCACAGCCCTCGACTCTGCTCCCACTCCGTCTGGTGCTCTCTTTGATCCCCAGGATTAGCGGGGGATGGGAGTTGGGGGGGGGTGAGGTCTCCTAGGTGGGGCAGAAGGCTCCTTGAAGGGCTGCCTCTTCAGCCCAGTGCCCTGCAGCCTGTTGGTTCAGCTCTGCCCCAGCTTAGGCCCCCACCAGGCATGAAGAGTCCCTGACACTAGAGACTAAGGTAGGGGACACCCACCTCTTGGCTACCCCAGCCAGGACAGGATAGAGCCCTTCCCCCAGGCCAGGAGCAGCAGAGCAGGGCTAATAACCGTACTGCACAGATGGGAACTTGGAGGCTAAAGGGAGGCTGGCCTACTGTCCCCCAGGAGTGTGGGAGTAACAAGACTTAGAGCTCCCAGCACGGAGCTCCCTCCAAAGAGCGCTGGGGCAGGCCCCACGGCCCTGGCCCACATTACACCACCCATTCTGCCTGCAGAGGCTTCTCCGACAGCCTTGGGTGGCAGAGGGAGGGCTTCAGCCTGTGATCAGAGCAACAATAGCCCAGGGGGGCGTGGGTGTGATGAGCCCATTTGCTAGATGGAGAGACTGGTGTGCAGAGAAGTCGGGGCGAGTGGCTGGACTATACACCGGGGTGGGGGTGGCCTAGGGCGGCAGGGAGGCTCCGTGCTGACCACAGCCGGCTGCCCCATCTGCAGACAAAGGCCTCGTCCTACCCGCCGTGCTGGGCATCACCTTTGGCGCCTTCCTCATCGGAGCTCTGCTCACCGCGGCCCTCTGGTACATCTACTCCCACACGCGTGAGTATCCCAGGTCCCC